TGTCAGACTCCCAGGGGCGGGGGTCTTAGCTAACTTTGTAGACTTTGGACCGCATGGCTTCACCTGAGTGCTGGCTAATGCAATCTTCCCAGGTCCCATGTGGTGAGATGGGTAATCCTATCATTTCCTGAGGGCCATGTCTTAATCCCATCACCCTGGAGCTAAAGGAGGGACAGGGAGCTGCAGGAAGCTGCTTTGTCTTTAAAACATGTTTCTCCTTTTCTTCATCCAGGGAAATATAATATTCTGCCTTTTTAATATTTCCTAGAATATTTCATTCTTGGGTGCTAACTTTCTACAGTGCTATTGCTACTTTAATTTGGTTTAGAATCTGGCATCCAAGGCTTCCCCAGTTCTTACAATTTTACAAATGTTTTTGATAAGAGAATAACAGAGTTGGAAGGGACATTGGAAGGACTCCCTGCTCAAGCAGGAATCCCTGTACCATTTCAGACAAATAGTTGTCCAATCTCTTCTTAAAAACATCCAGTGCTGAAGTGTTCACAATTTCTGGCAGCAAGTTGTTCCACTAATTATTCTAACTGTCAGGAGAAGTCTCCTTAGTTTTAGGTCGGATCTCTCCTTGTTTATTTTCAATTCATTGCTTCTTGTCCTGCCTTCATATAAAAAGCAATGCTTTATCTAATTTACTGATAATACAAGGCTGAGAGTAATGTGATTAGATTCAGAAAAGGACATGCTGCATTGAAACCCTAAAATCAAAATTGCATGTAGATTTGGGAAGAGTGGTTTGTTGTATGCATAGAAAAAAGTTCCAGGAATCGATTTGCTAATGTATGAGACAGTACTGTGGTTGCTTAAAAATTAACATAGATTGCCTCAGGAGAAGATTATTGACCAGCTCATGAAAAATGTGATTCTGCTCTGTTCAGTGCCTGGCAAAGTATAATTGAAGTTTTTCCTTCAGGTCAAGGCTCCACAATTTTAAAAGAATGTTCACATAATGGCCACTTACATAACGGCAAATGTTTTTAAAAGCTGGAATTGTTTTGCTGGGATTGAAGCAGGGAGTACATATTTGAAAAGTGGTCAGGCAGAAGATAGAGCCCAGTTACTCTCAGCACAAGAACAGTACAAATGGAAGGCAGGTTTGGACTAAACCTTAAAGTATGCAACAGTACTGCTTAAAAGTTGAGCAGAGACCCTTAGAAGTGGGTGGATTTTTTTTTAATTTTTTATTGAAAATTACGTTTTAAAAACATTTGAACGTGGTGATCTTTTGACATATATCAGCAGTCTTTACATTGTTGTAATAGCAGAATGTCATTAAACAATATAACATACACACACACACACACACAAACCCCTATATATATCTTTACACTGTAAATCTTTATATTCGTTTGTATCTTAGACATTTTATTGCAGTATAAACTTTTTCTTTAATTTCTATTTCACATTTTTTTGACTTCCTTTTGTTGGGAGAAATACCTTCTGGGTTCAGTTCTAAGTGGGGAAAAAGACACTGGAAACATGGAGGCTGTTTGGAAGGTTTAATATCAGGACCATATGGCCTGGAGCTCCAGAGTGAAAAGGAAGGATGATCACATGCTTCAAGGTGGGAAGAGAAGGTCAAGAAGGGCTGAGGTGCTGAGAGTGCCTGGGTTTTATACCCTCTGTTGGGATTTGAATTGGAGCTTGTATTCTGATTGGTTGTCAGACTCCCATGCAGGGGCAACTCTGTAGGCTGTCCTGAGTTCCAGGCTTGGTTGAGCCTTGCTGGATGATTTATGCCCTAAAAAGGGCTTTTGGCAATTGCTATAGCTTTACCTGGAGATTCTTGTTATGTAAAGTATTCTGGCCCAGGCCTTAATGGCCCACCCATTAACAAAGGTGGGGATGAGTTTCTGTTTCCGAGGTGAGTTTCTGCTTCTCAGTTTCTATTCTTTTTAGAGGAAATATTCTGCCTTTTTAATATTTCCTAGGCTATTTCAATATTCTAGGAGAGGGATGGGTGCTAACTTCCTACAATTTCCTATCCCTCCAATTATATTTTTTTCCATATTTCATAGAATTCTGAAGTATCTCGTTCCTTCAGTTCTAACGTTAAACTATCTAACTCGGCGCAGTGTAGAATTTTTATTATTATTACTTCGTCGCTAGGTATTTCTTTTAGTTTCCATGTTTGGGCAATTAATAATGCAGCTGTGATAATATGAATAATTAGATATAAAACTGCTTTTTTAAGATTCTCATTTGTTATTCCTAGTAGAAACATTTCTGGTGTGTAATTTATTTTTAACACTTCCTCTAACCATTGCTGAATTTTTTTGCCAAAAATCTTGCATTTTCTTGCACTCCCACCACATATGGTAGTAGGTGCCCCATTCTTTTGAACATTTCCAGCATACCAGAGATTGGGAACTATTCATTTTAGCTAATCTGGTGGGTGGGAGATGCCATCTATAGAACATCTTAAACAGATTTTCTTTATAAGATGTGGCTAAAGTGATCTTTTTATTGCTATCCCAGATTTGCTGCCGTTGATCCAAATTTATGTTATAGCCGAAATTTCTAGCCCAGGTTACCATTGGTTCTTTCACCTGCTCCTCATACATCTTGTAGTCTAATATATAATTATATAATTTCTTTGTTTGTTTGTTTTCTGGTCCTAATAATATTTTATCTAATATCGTATCTTGGCAGTTTATTCCCATTCTTTTTTGTCTCTTTCATATCTGGATTGTACTTGATATGCCCACCATTCCAACATTAAACCTTATTGAATAAGTTCAAGTCTTTGTTTTAGTCTTCCTTCATCTGTTAGGGTATCTTTGTATGTAATTGCCTTTTTTGGTTATAGAGGTTTGGGTATGATATAGCTTCTAAGGGGAAAAGCCAACCTGGGGTTGCCATATAGTTTTGCGATCTTATTTTATTCCAAATTGATATTAGAGCTTGTCGGATTTTATGTCTCACAAAATATTGATGTGTTGTATGTCTGTCAGGCCACAAATATGCATGGCAGCTCTGTTGTAAATCATGCCCTTCTAAAAATAAAAGTCTTTTTTTTCCCCAAGTTTTTCCAATTTTTGATCCATGTTAAGGTGGCAGCTTGACAGTATAATTCCCAATCCAGGAAACCTAGTCCCCCTCTTTCCTTTGCATCCTGTAGGTGTTTTAGTTTAATTCTTGGTCTTTTACCCTGCCACACAAAATTTAATGTTATTTTATTCAGTTACTTAAATATTTTTTTTGTCTAATTTGATCAGTATATTTTGGAACAAGAACAAAAATTTTGGTAGTATGTTCATTTTAATAGCCGAAATTCTGCCAGTTAGCAATAGTTGAAGACTATTCCAATGTTCTAAGTCTGTTTTAATTTGTCTCAATAGATTTTCATAATTATCCTCCTTAATTGTGGAACAATGTGCCGAAATGTTAATTCCTAGATATTTTATTTTTTGTACTATTTGAATGTCTAATAGTTTAACAAGATTTTCTCTTTGTGTGTTGGTCATATTCTTTGGCTATGATTTTCCTTTTTTCTTTATTTTCAGACCATCTACTTCTCCATAATCTTTAAGTTTTTCTAATAATATTGGACCTCTTTGTTCAGGGTCTTCTAAAAAAAACCCTAAATCATCTTTTTAAATTTCCAATCCTTTAATCTGTGTTTCTTGTCTGATTATTCTCGTTAGGATCTCCAGGGTATATATAAATAATAGCGGAGACGGGGCAACTTTGACTTGTGCCTTTTTGTATATAAACCGTACTTGACAATTCTCCATTTATTATTATTTTTGCTTCCTGTTGCGTATATATTGCCATAATTATCTTTAAAAACTTTTCACCAATATTCATGTATTTTAACTGTTGCATTAGAAAAGACCAATTTACGTTGTCAAAGGCTTTCTGGGCATCTAGGAATAGAAAGGCTGCCTGTCAGTCATATTATTTGTAAAATTCAAGAGCATCTAATGCTATTCTCACATTAAATTTTGTTTGTCTGAGAGGAAGCCATTTTGATTGCTATATATAAATTCATTTAAATAACTTTTAAATCATTCAGCTATAATCGTAAATATTTTGTAATCTGTATTTTAAAGACATATTAGCCTATAATTTTGGATTCTTGTCTGGTCTGTACCTTCTTTTTTAATCAATACTATATTGGCCTTTCTCCAAGATTTTGGTATTTTCCCATCCTTGAGCACAGCACTGAAGACTTCTAATAAATGTTGGTTCAGGGTATTCTGATGTTCTTTGTATAGCTCTGCGGGTATAGTGTCTGGGCCTGATGCTTTGTGTTTTTTTTTTTGTTGATTACTTTGGTTATTTCTGTCATGGTAATTTCTTCATTGAGCATTAATTTCATATCTTCTGGAATCTTTGGTAAATCAGCTTTCCTTAGGTTTTAATCTTCTGAGTAATTTTGATTTCTTGGATATAATTTTGCATAGAATCTCTGGGCAATATCTTTTTTAGAATTCTCATCGTAATATATGGTCCCTTCTTCATCTTGTAATTTGTTTATTTGTTGTTTTTCTCTATGGTTTCTTAATTTTTGTGCCAGCCACCGTCCAGGTTTATTGGCCTTTTCAAAATAGTTTTGTTTAGCTAGTTTGATTTGTTGTGCTATTTTCTCTGTCTCCAAAATATGTAATTTATGTTTAAGTAGATCTAGTTCGTTTTTCAAGTTTTGATTATTGGGTTCTGTCTGGTGCAACGCCTGCATTTGCTTGAGCTCTTGTTCCAATTTTTCTTGTTGTTTTTTTGCCTTGTTTCTTTTGGCTGTATATTAGATTGTTACCCCATATATGTATGCTTTGGCGGTGTCCCAGAGAGTTTGAATTGAAGTATCATCTTGTTTATTTCATAGAAGGTGTTCAATTCTTTTTCTATCATTATGTTGAATTCTTTTTCTTTGAGAATTGCCCTTTGAAAAGTCCATCTTGGTATAGTTTTATATCCTTTCCACTGTATACTTATGTGGGGTTATGATCGGCCCAGGTGTTAGTCTCTATATTTACTTTATATATTTTGGAATCTAAATCTTTAGATATCCAAACCATATCAATTCTAGACCAAGTTTTGTGGCGATTTGAGTAGAATGTATAATAATTATTTTCATTATTCCTTTCTCTCCATAGGTTTATCAAGTTCAAATCTCTAGTCATTTCAAAAAATGTTTTAGGGAGTATTTTTTTCCCCTTTTACTCATGCCGTTATGTTTATGGTCTCTTTTCCTGTCTACAATGGCATTAAAATCTCCGACTATGCATAACCCATCGTACTCTATATCGCTAATTATATTATGCAATTTTTTATAGAAAGACTCTTGGGCTCCATTTGGTGCTTATATTGAGGCAATTATTATATTTTTGTTATTTAATTTGATCTCAACGATTAGAATTCTCCGTTCTTTCTTTGTAAATCTGTTTTGCCTTAATTTTATTTTTCACATATATAGCCACACCTCTCTTCTTTTTCTTGTCTAGTGATACAAACAAGTTCCCTAACTTAAGTTGTTCTAGTAAATATTTTTGGTTGTGTCTTATATGGACTTCTTGCAAAGCAACTAGATCAGTTTTTAGTTTTTGTAATTTGGCAAATATTTTCTGACATTTTATTGGTGAGTTGAGTCCGTTAATATTTATTGACCAGATCCTGCATTCTTCATCTATTAATTGTATCTTGTTCTTGTACTTCTCGTAACTCTAGATTCTTTGGGCTGTTCATATTTCCCCCCATAATATTCTGTCTTATTTCCATCTCCTCTCCTCTTAGGTCTTTTCATTTCTTGTGGTTTTTATGTTTCTTCTATTACTTGTCCTAGGTCTCTGCCTTCAATTATATCTTTCTCTTCTCCTTGATCCCCTGATTCTTCTTCAATGTCACAGTATTGTTTGTAGAAATCTTCAGCCTTTTCTACTGTATCTAGCTTAAATCTTTTTCCTGCCAGGTTACCATTATCCCTTCCAGTGTTAGCCATCTAAAATTAATGTTATTTTTATTTAGTCTTGTTGTCAAAAACTGGTAGTTTCTCCTTAAATCCCTCATTCTTTTTGGAACCTGTTTCAACATTAATATTTGTGTTCGATGTAAAATTTCATTTCTAATAGATTTTTTTGTAAATTTCGCGTGGACTTCTTTTGGGGAGATGGTGTCTTCCGTAGCTCGTTTGGACCTGTATATCTCATCCATT